TCCCTCTCTCTCTCTCTCTCTCTCTCTCTCTCTCTCTCTCTCTCTCACCTTTTTCTCTTCCTCACTCCTCGTTTTCAGTTTGCTTTCTTTCTCACGCACAAAAACGCACCGCCACACAGTATCCGTTTGCCTCAGCAAACATATCCCAGGAAATGGCTGACAGGGTTTACCCGTCGGCGAAGCCGAACGGCTCCGCCGCGCCGCTACACCTCAACCCTCCGCCTGCCAAATCTCACCTCCACAATCCGATGCGCCACCCATACCGCCCTGCCCCGCCCTCCCGCCTCCGCCGGAAACTCGAGCGGAGGCTCAGCTGCCGCCGCTGCTGCTGCCTCACCTGCCTCTGGGCCGCGCTCGTCCTGATCGGGCTCCTCCTCCTCGCCGCCACCGCCGCCGCCGCCGTCTACGCGCTGTACCGCCCCCGTCGCCCCCTTTTCTCCGTGACCTCGCTTAGGATCTCGGCCCTCAACCTGACCACCGCGCCAGCCGACGAGTCAACGCGCCTCACCGCCAGGGTCAACGTCACCCTCTCGGCGAAGAACCCCAACAAACGGATCGCGTACCAGTACGACCCGATGTCCGTCGCCGTGGTCTCCGGCCCGGTCGCCCTGTGCAACGGCTCCGCCGCGGGGTTCGCCAGCTCGCCAGGAAACATCACGGTTGTCCACGCGGCTATGGCATCGGACCACCAGTTGCTGGACGGGGACGGCGTGAGGTGGCTGAGGTCGGATCTGAGGAGGAGAAATGGGCTGCAGCTGGAAATCGTGGTGGACACGACGGTAGGGGTAAAAATGGAAAAGATGAAGATGAAGAAGGTGTGGATCAGGATCAGGTGCGACGGAGTGCACGGACAGGTGCCCAAGGGCAAAGATATAATTTCTGCCAACACTGCCCACGCTAGGTGTAACGTGGATCTCAGAATCAAGATCTGGAAATGGACATTTTAATTTTTAATTATTTATTTATTATTATATATTTTTTTATTTTTTATTTTTTGTGGTGATTAAAATGGGCCATGATATTATTTCTCATTTTCATTTATTTATTAATTTAGTGCATTTATTGTTCTTGTGTAAAATGGAGAAAAAAATGTGGGAAAAGTGATTCTAATTAGTTGAAACAAAATCAAAAGGTATAAGAGATGTTTTTTTTGGCTTTCTCATAGCTTTCTTTTATTTATTTCAATTTTATATGCCACAATAACTAATAAGTGTCTTTGTTCATGATTTAGTAATTTTTAAGTTTTAAGTTTTTAACCTTTGATACTATAGTGAAATTAATCATTACGATGAAAATAATGAGATTGTTTTTTTTTTT